TGTCCAGAGGACCAGATTGAACTTTTTTGGATTTTTCTACCTGGATTATTGAGCATGCATCAGGATGTTTATACGTTTTGTTTTTTTAATGGGTTGCATTCTATGACAGTAACTACCATTTATGAACACTTGTAATGTTAAATGTTGGACTTTAAATTTGAACAAGTTTTCAATATATTTTTTAAATTTGGTCTCAGCTTTTATTGGGTTTATTCCTGTTTTGTTGTCTTACAATATTGATTTTCAGTTTGACTACAAGTAATGAACCCACACATAAAATACACCAGACTAATAAAATTAAATGAGGAAAACATTTATAATAATGTTTTTTTTATTATTAAAAAGTGGTGCATGTATTCAACTTCTTTGCTTTGAAGACCCAATCAATACCTGAAGAAGTCAGATAATAAGTTATATAAGATCCACCTGTGTGTCATCTAGGTGTTAAACGATCTAAATGGAACAGCCCCCAGAATCAAGACCTGTGGTACTTGTCTTTTCACAACTCATGCTCATGTTGCTGCTCACAACATGCACTGATGGATGGACAGTTGGCTGGATGGAGGGGACTTCCAATTCTCCTTCTTTGCTCCACAACGAGGGGCAAAATGATGGATGGAGCAGAATATAAAAGTAAACTTTTTTGTGCTTCTAAAGGTTTGAGGCTGGGATGGAGGCTCACCTTCTAGATGGACAAATACCATAAACACTGCTGAAACAGCACGCAGTATGTCAAACATTAAACAGTAAAACGTTGCACCCATCTCCAGTTTTATTCCTCAAATTTAGGTTGTAAGACAACAAAACAAAAAGAACCCCAGGATGGTGAACACTGTGAAGTGTGAAACCTACTGTAAAATAATACATTTTTAGTCTATATGCTGTTTCTGAAGCAGAAACTCTGACTTATGTCAAAAAAACCTCAAAGATGATCAGTGAAATCCTAAAATTCACCCCGAGAGCCCACATAAACACACAGGGTCATCCATCCATCCATCCATCCATTCATCCATTTTCTTCAGAATCGCCTCAAAGCCGTGGGGGTCACACAGGGTCAACAGAGTTTAAAACGTCTCTTTGTCTCTGAAGGCATCTTGAATCCAGACCTGAGGCATGGAGGAGGACACTCCAGTGATGATGGTGGACATGGTGAGTACTGTGGTCATACCTGCAGGAAGACATCAAAATAAATCTCACTCAGAAATCAGTTATATTTGATTTAAATTCAATTCAATTCAGTTTATTTATGTAATGCCAAGTCACACCAGAAGTCATCTCAGGATGCTGAACAGAAACATTCATATATAAAAATAATAATTTAACATTTCCTGATGCATACTCAATAATCCAGGTAGAAAAATCTAAAACAGTTAAATCTGGTCCTCTGGACATTAAAAAAAAAAAAAAATTTTTTTTTTGTGGAAACGTTTCGTCTTTCATACGAAAGACTTCCTCAGTCTGAGGTGAAAAACGGGTTATACACTCAACACACGCTCATGTGCTCATTCAATTTTCACTACTGTTTATATTACACTATTGTTTATATTCACACTACTCCATCCATCCATTTTCTTCCGCTTATCCGGGGTCGGGTCGCAGGGGTAGCAACTTAAGTAGGGAGGCCCAGACTTCCCCCTCCCCAGCCACTTGGGCCAGCTCCTCCGGGGGAATCCCAAGGCGTTCCCAGGCCAGCCGAGAAACATAGTCCCTCCAGCGTGTCCTGGGTCTTCCTCTGGGTCTCCTCCCGGTGGGACGTGTCTGGAACACATCACCAGGGAGGCGTCCAGGAGGCATCCTAACCAGATGCCCGAGCCACCTCAACTGGCTCCTCTCGATGTGGAGAAGCAGCGACTCTACTCTGAGTCCCTCCCAGATGATCAAGCTTCTCACCCTATTTCCCAGACATCCTGTGGAGAAAACTAATTTCGGCCGCTTGTATCTATGATCTCGTTCTTTCAGTCACAACCCAAAGCTCATGACCATAGATGAGGGTAGGAACGTAGATTGATCGGTAAATTGAGAGCTTCGCCTTTTGACTCAGCTCTCTCTTCACCAAGACAGACCTGTACAGCTCGAGCTTCACTGCAGATGCTGCACCTATCTGCCTATCGATCTCATGCTCCATTTTTCCCTCATTCGTTAACAAGACCTCAAGATACTTGAACTCCTCCACTTGGGGCAGGACCTCCTCCCTGACCTGGAGAGGGCACTCTACCCTTTTCCGGCTCAAGACCATGGCCTCAGATTTGGAGGAACTGATCTTCATCCCGGCTGTGTCGCACTTGACTACGAACCGCTCCAGCGAAAGCTGTAGATCACGATCTGATGAAGCCAATAGGACCATATCATCTGCAAAAAGCAGAGATGCGATCCTAAGGCCACCAAAATGGATCCCCTCAACACTTTGGTTGCACCTAGAAATTCTGTCCATAAAAGTTATGAACAGAATCGGTGACAAAGGGCAACCTTGGCGGAGTCCAACTCTCACCGGGAACGAGCCTGACTTACTGCCGGCAATGCGGACCAGGCTCTGACACCGGTCATACAGGGACCTAACAGCCCGTATCAAAGGGCCTGGAACCCCATACTCCCAGAGTACCCCCCACAGGGTTTCCTGAGGGACTCGGTCCAACGCCTTGTCCAAGTCCACAAAGCACATGTAGACCGGTTGAGCAAACTCCCATGCACCCTCCAGGAACCTGCTGAGAGTGTAGAGCTGGTCCAGTGTTCCACGACCAGGACGAAAACCGTACTGCTCCTCCTGAATCTGAGGTTCGACTATCTGATGGCCCTTTTTGAATAGGGGGACCACCCAGTCTGCCAATCCAGGGGAGCTTCCCCCGATGTCCACGCAATATTGCAGAGTTGCGTAAGCCAACACTACCCTATAACATCCAGAGCCTTAAGGAACTCCGGGCGAATCTCATCCATCCCTGGGGCCCTGCCACCGAGAAGCTTTTTAACCACCTCAGTGACCTCAGCACCAGAGATTGGAGGGCCTGACCCAAAGTTCCCAGGTTCCGCTTCCTCAGTGGAAGACGTGCCAGTGGGATTGAGGAGGTCTTCAAAGTATTCCGCCCATCGACCCACGACATCCCGAGTTGAGGTCAGCAGCACACCACCCCCACTATAAACAGTGTTGGTGGTATACTGGTCCCCCCCCCCCCCCCCCCCCGAGATGCCGGATGGTGGACCAGAATTGCCTCGAAGCCATGTGGAAGTCATTCACCATGGCCTCTCTGAACTCCTCCCATGCCCGAGTTTTTGCCTCAGCAACAACCCGAGTCACATGTCGTTTGGACTGCCAGTACCCATCAGCTGCTTCCGGGGTCCCACAGGCCAAAAAAGGCCCAATAGGACTCCTTCTTCAGCCTGACAGCATCCCTCAGAGCCGGTGTCCATCACCGGGTTTGAGGGTTGCCACCGCGATTGGCACAGACAATCTTGCAGCCACAGCTCCAGTAAGCTGCCTCGACAATAGAGGCACAGAACATGGCCCACTCGAACTCAATGTCCCCTACCTCCCCCGGAACATGTTCGAAGTACCCCCAGAGGTGGGAGTTAAAGTTCCGTCTCACAGGAGACTCTGCCAGACATTCCCAGCAAACCCTCACAATACATTTGGGCCTGCCAGGTCTGACCGACATCCTCCCCCACCATCGGAGCCAGCTCACCACCAGGTAGTGATCAGTGGACAGCTCCACCCCTCTCTTCACCCGAGTATCCAAGACATGTGGCCGCAGATCAGATGAGACGACGACAAAGTCGATCATCAAACTGCGACCTAGGGTGTCCTGGTGCCAAGAGCACATATGGACACCCTTATGCTTGAACATGATATTTTTTATGGACAATCCATGACAAGCACAGAAGTCCAACAACAGAACAGCACTCGGGTTCAGCTCAGTGGGGCTGTTCCCCCCAACCATACTCCTCCAGGTCTCACTGTCATTGCCCACGTGAGCATTGAAGTCCCCCAGCAGAACAAGGGAGTCCCCAGGAGGTGCATTTTCCAGTACCCCCTCCAAGGACTCCAAAAAGAGTGGATAATCTGAACTGCCGTTTGGTGCATAAGCACAAACGACAGTCAGAACCCATCCCCCCACACGTAGGTGGAGGGAGGCTACCCTCTCATTCACCAGGGTGAACCCCAACATACAGGCACCAAGATGGGGGGCAACAAGTATGCCCACGCCTGCTCGGCGCCTCTCACCAGGGGCAACTCCAGAGTGGAAGAGTGTCCAACCACTCTCAAAGAAACTGGTTCCAGAGCCAGAGCCATGCGTAGAGGTGAGTCCGACTATTTCTAGCTGGAACATCTCAACCTCACACACCAACTCAGGCTCCTTCACCACCAGTGAGGTGACATTCCATGTCCCAATAGCTAGCTTCTGTAGCCGAGGATCAGACCGCCAGGGTCCCCGCCGTCGACCACCACCCATCCCACATTGCACCCGACCCCTTTGGCCCCTCCCACTGGTGGTGAGCCCATGGGAAGGGGGACACACGTCTCCTCTTTGGGCTGTGTTGGGCCGAGCTCCATGGGTAAAAGCCTGGCCACCAGGCGCTTGCCCGCGTGCCCCACCTCCAGTCCTGGCTCCAGAGTGGGGCTCCGGTGACCCACGTCTGGGTGAGGGAACATTGAGTCCATTTATTTTTCTCATCATAGGGGTGTTTGGGCTGCACTTTGTCTGGTCCCTCACTTAGGACCTGTCTGCCTTGGGTGACCCTACTAGGGGCGTGAAGCCCCTGACAGCATAGCTCCTAGGATCATTGGGACACTCGAACCCCTCCACCACGATAAGGTGGCAGCCCAGGGAGGGGCTCACACTACTGCTGATATATATTTTTGTACTAGCCTTATTGCATATGTCACTTTACCTCCATACCAATATCAAAGACTTCATACATACAGGTATACTGTGTACATTCACTTCATAGGCTGCTTTGTAGCTTTACTATAAATGCCAATGTCAGGACCTTCATTTCATAGATATACTTTTTTATATTTTTATACTGCTATACTTAAAATTTAGGACAGTATCATACTTTTATTATTTCATTTTATGCTAATGTTTATTAAATGGTTTAATGTTTAATTGTTATTGTTGCACCAGGGGTCTGAGAGTAATGAAATTTAAATCCTGTGCATGTCCTGTACATATTGCAGTTTTGACAATAAAGTTGACTTTGATTTGTGTTTGGACTGTTTATGTCCTGTTGTGCTCTCTGAATTGTCAAAAATAATAGCCTCATCCAAACCATCCACATGTCTGCTAGATCCCATCCCAACCAGACTTTTTAAGTATTTCCCCTAATAAATCTATTTGAAAAAAAAAAAAAAAAAAATCTGTTTGGAGAAGTAAAAGTCACTAATGATATTCTCATGTCCTCAAACAATGAACTTGTGTCTCAATACTGGTCCTGTTAGACCTCAGTGCTGCATTTGATACAGATGATCACAATATTTTACTACAGAGGCTTGAATATGATATTAGGATTACAGAAACATCTCTAGAATGGTTTAAATCATACAGTATTTATCTGATAGATTCCAATTTGTAAATGTAAATAATGAATATTCTTCATACAGCAAAGCTAGTCATGGGGTTCTTCAGGGCTCAGTGCTTGGACCAATACTCTTTACTTTACTTATGCTTTCATTAGGTAAAGTTAGGGCAGCACGGTGACGCAATTGTTAGAGCTGCTGCCTCTCAGTGAGCAGTTTCCCGGTTCAAATCCTGGTCCGGGGGCCTTTCTGGGTGGAGTTTGCATGTTTTCTCCATGCATGTGGGGGTTTTCTCCCGGTTCTCCGGTTTCTTCCCACAGACCAAAAGCATGCGTGTTAGGCTGATTGGTAACTCTAAAATTGTCCCTAGGTGTTTGTCTCTATTTGTCCTTGTGATAGACTTGCAAGTCTCATCAGGTCTGTTCACAGATTCACCGATGAAGCATTCAAAGAAAAGCAATAAATCCTCAAGACTATCAAGACTTTCTAGAGTAAAATGTGCTGCTATGTGTTAGAAAATGTGGTCTCAGTTGCAGATCATGGGTCGTCCAACAGAATAATGACCCTAACACTCAGCTAAAAACATCCAAGAATGGATCAAACCAACAGGTTAGTTCCGATTCATTAATTTAATCTGGTTCACTCATGGACAAGTGGACCAGAACACCTGTGGACAGGTGGCCCAGAACACCTGTGGACATGTGGACCAGAACACCTGTGGACAGGTGGACCAGAACACTTATGGACAGGTGGACAAGAACACCTATGGACAGGTGGACCAGAACACTTGTGGACAGGGGGACCAGAACACCTATGGACAGGTGGACCAAAATGCCTGTGGACAAGTGACCAGAACACCTGTGGACAGGTGGACCAAAATGCTTGTGGACATGTGGATCAGAACATCTTTTGACAGGTGGATCAGAAGACATGTGTACAGGTGGACCAGAACACCTGTGCACAGGTGGACCAGAACACATCTGGACAGGTGGATTAAAACACCTGTGGACAGGTGGACCAGAACACTTGTTGACATCCATCCATCCATCCATCCATCCATTATCTTCCGCTTGTTCCAAAGTCAGGTCTTGGGGACAGCAGCTTGAGCATGAAGGTCCAGACATCTCTTTCCACAGCTACCTCTTCCAGCTCTTCTGGGAGAACCCCAAGGCGTTCCCAGGCCAGCTGAGAGACATACTGTCCTGGGTCTTCCCCAGGGTCTCCTAACAGTCAAACATGCCCAAAGCAATTCTCTATGGAGGCCCTCAGGGAGCATCTTTACCAGACACCCAAACCACCTCAACTGGCTCCCTTTTGACATGGAGGAGCAGCAGCTCTACTCCAAGTCTTTCCTGGATAACTGAGCTTCTCATCCTAACACCTGTGGTCAAGTGGACCAAAACATCTGTGGACAGGTGGACCAGAACACACGGACCTGTTGACAGATGCAGAAGTATCAGAGTGTTATAGAAATCACTTGATTGCTGCAAAAAGTTGGGCAACAAAACAAGTTGCAAGCTCAATCATCCAGGTAGATAACAACAAAAAAGGTTAAATCATGCCATCTGGTCCTTTTTTGTTGTTTTCTACCTGGATGATTGAGCTTGCAATCCTTTTTCTGAAGAACTTTGACGTTGGTTGTCCTCAGGCTGTTTCTGTGAATAGCAGTTGGTCATCTGGCCTAAAACATTTGATTGTTGTACATGATGACTGATTGTTTTGGATGGGTGTGTTTTGCACATATTAAAAGTCTACTTTTGAGATTCCAACAGGGGGCTGGCTTGAAACACAGCAGTGAAGGCTGCCTATAGGACAGATTTGTTTGGCAGGCCGTAGACTGAGAAAGACCTCTGGATGGGGGACGAAATGTTTCTCACTTAAAGAGACTGGCCCAGATGACATGATTTAATCTTTTTTTATGGGCAACAAAACATTAATTATTTTTTCAAGGCCAGTTTGTTTGTTCTTTAAAATAATTCTGTTGAACCACATTTCAAAAGCAGTAACTGATTTTCATTAGATGTTTTTCATTGATTGATTGATTTTTATTACATTCGTTAGCTTTGTTATTTTATTTTTGGGGCTTTTTTAAATAAAAGGATATAAACACATTTATCAATATGATTGATACATCAAATATTTGCTTTACTACATTCATTTAGTTTACTGATCAGTTTTTTTTCTGGTGCTTTTTATACAGCTTTTGTATTTTTTTTTTTGTGCAAAATTCTTATTGAGCTTTAAAAAAATATGATTTGTTACCCAGAGACACTCGAGCAGGAACAGCCCTCCTGTCAATCCAGAAGGAGACCCAGGAGAGGACCACCATCAGCATGGTGGGGAAGTATGTCTGAAGCATGAAGAAGAAGATGTGCCGCCTCAGGATGAAGTTTATGAAGAGACGATTGTACCAACCTGAAAGACGAAAACTTTAAAAAGTTTTTAATTTGAAATAGTTTCTGTGTTTCTATCATAGTTCGAGACCACAGAGTCAAATTATTAGTGAGGTCCATCACTGACATGTTGAAAAAAAACCTACAGGAAATAATTTCATCTTGTGTGCATAAGAACAGGTCTTGAACCTCATGCACACAAACTTACATTTTAAAACAGGGGTGTCCAAAATACGGCCCGAGGACCATTTGTGGCCCTTGGAGGGATCTTGTGTGGCCCACAACTTCAATTTAAGAATGGAATTATTTTGGCCTGCAGGTTTGAGAGGTTGACACAGATGTAGACCTGCTGCTAATTGAATAGTGATACTTTTTAATATATTGTTTAGGTAAATGGATGGATGGATACAAACCTTTGGCTTTAAATACTGTAATCCTTTTTTTCATGATATAAAGCACCACAAACCTTTACTGACATCTACCATCAACTAGACTTTTGGATAATCGCTCATAAAACTTCACTAAATTTGACAAGTGTTTTAAAAGAAAATCAAGTTGATTTAATAATTGATGGAGAGAAATTGAACATTTATAAAGGAATATAAAGTGGTATCATCTACACACAAGTTGATTATTAGTGTCATAGCTCTGCTCTCTGTCAGTTCCTCTGTCATGCTGCACACTC